TGCCTCAGGACACAATCCAATCTTGTAGATTGAGTCCTGCCTCACTAACCCAACTGCCACCCATCCTCCCTCATTAACATCATAGAGGCAGGATTTACCACACATGGGAAAATCACACAGTACCGGCAATCATGGCCCAGCCAAATTGATACACACATTTTTGGGGGGACATAATTCAATCCATGACAGTGATTTCTTTGTTTTTCTCTTAAATGCAAGCATTCAAAGAAATTTCAAAATTAGAATTGAGATTTTAGTATAAAGTTTGTATGTTGTGCCTCTTTCCTAAACAACAAATTAGGAGTGTTTTCTGTTATTGAGGATTTTCAGAAAGTGCTTAATGCTTCCTCCTTGTATCACTGAAGTGTTCCTTTTAGCCATATACTGCATCCTCTGGATGTGCTAACTAAAGTGGCATTTCTTCCTTTAGGGATACTCACTATTTTGTCACACAAGAAAACAAGCTTTGTGAAATTCTCAAAATATTCAGCTTTCGTTCGTGACGACCATGAATTCGGTTTTATTTTTTCCTCCTGCCTAGACTATACTTCCACTTGGCGACGGTCCAAAGCGTGTTCTGGTGACTCAGCCATTCCCTTCTCAGAACCCGTTGTCTGCAAGTGGGGGCCAGGCTCAGCGGGTCTTGTGTCCTTCGAATTCCTCCCAGAGCGGCCCTTCACAAGCACAGAAGCTTGTCTCCAGCCGAAAGCCAGTTCAGAGTCAGAAGCAGAAGCCATTGCAGATAACCACTGTACCTCGTCCTGTCTCCAGGCCACCCAACAACACCCCAAAGAGTGAGCAGGCCCAGCCGCCAGCATCTGGTAAACCAGCTTCTGAGACTCGTTGGAGAGTCATTCTTTCTAGCTGTTGCAAACAAGCGAGTGTGTGAGCTCGTGTTTATTGTCTGAAGGCCTAGCTTTTACATCCTGTCTACAGAGAAGGGGACAGTGTGATATTCAGGTTGAAGTGGTAGTGTCTGCCATGGGTCAGGCCTGTGCTAGAAATACAGGCCTGATCACTGCCCTTATGGGACATTTGGGAGTCAGGGAGGACACAGGACCATTCCTATGTCCTGCTGATTGCTTAATAGTGGGTGGATTGTAGGTTACCCTCGTGGTGCAGTAGTGAAGCACTCGGCTGCTAACCGAAGGGTTGGCGGGTGGAATTCACCAGCTGCTCTGCGGGAGAAAGATGTGGCAGCCTGCTTCCATAGAGATTACAGCCTTGGAAACCCTATGGGGCAGTTCTACCCTGTCCTGTCAGGTCACTATGAGCTGCAATCGACTTGACAGCAACGGGTTGGGTTTGGTTTGGTTTGTTATAGCAGACAGCATCTGAAGAACTGAAAAGTCTGAGGTTTATGGGGCATGGGCGGAGCTTGGGAGCACATGGGTTAATTGAGGCAGAGCAGGTGGGGTCATGGTGGGCACTGTTGGCTGTGTTAAGGAGCAGGGCTCCATCTAGTGCATTGGGGTGCTGCTGAAGGGTTTTTGAGTAGAGGGTGGGCATTTTAGAAAGCTCCCTCTGGGTGTGTTGAATGAATCGGAGAGTCGCACTGGTGGATCCAGGGACACTGGGACAGGAGGCTTTTGCAGTGGTTTAGGCCAGAGGTAGTGGCCTGCACTGGGCGCAGGAGGGTGGGTGGGGATAGTTGTTATTTACTGCCTGTTGGGTGCTTACACACAGCGGACTCTGTGGTAAGCACTTCTTTCCTCCATTGCTGTCTCGTTGCATCCTCATAACCACTCTCTAAAGGGAGCCAGGGTTGCTAGCTTGGTTTTGTAGAGGAGGAAGCTAAGACTCAGAAGAGGTTAACTTAATCCAAAGACAAAGCAAGGATGGAGAGGCGCAGACTCAGTAGAGCTGGGCACCCAAGGAGACATGGAGGAGGAGTGAAGAGGAGTTAGGGACGGTGGGCACGCTGGTGGGGAACCACGAGGAGTTAGGGACGGTGGGCACGCTGGTAGGGAACCACGAGGAGTTAGGGACGGTGGGCACGCTGGTAGGGAACCACGCGGAGTTAGGGACGGTGGGCACGCTGGTAGGGAACCACGCGGAGTTAGGGACGGTGGGCACGCTGGTAGGGAACCACGCGGAGTTAGGGA